TTGGAATTTCCAGAAGATATAATGTATGATGCAATAAGTTTATTACGAGGTGTAAGTTTCTTTGTCCTTTTTTTTTTCAAAAGTTGTGGACTCGTAAAATTTTGATTTTTTTACTAACCTTATATACATTATAATATTTATTATAATATTTATTATAATATTAATTTTATTTTATATATTCTACATATTTTACACATACATTTTATACATTACTTTAATATATAGTTATTACAACGTGATCCTAGTCAACGGCTGGGATGTGGTCCAACGGGTTCGTTGGAAATTAAATCTCATCCATATTTTGATTATGTTGATTGGGATGATGTTTTAAACAAAAGAATATGTGCCCCTTATATTCCAACTATTGAACATGAGATGGACCTTAGAAATTTTGATGATGTATTTGTTACAATGTCTCCAAAATTATCCTTACCGAAACGTGATGTTCCTGTGGAAATGCAACAATGCTTTGCAGGATATTCCTTCTCGGAAAATTACATGGATTCAAGATCTGTAAATACATTACGTGCTAGTAGAAGTGTTAATCGTTCTCTTGCTGATGTTACTTCTTTACATAGAACTAATTCTTCCGCTACTCTTGGATGCGAACGTTATGATCGTAATGACCAAGATTGGAATAATAGTAGTTATGACTTAGATCAATATATTTCTAAATGTCCGACTATTATGGTTGGTGATACTAAATATCGTAACCATCTTTATCTAAACAAAAGGATTTCTCAATTCTTGTTGGATGACTCTCATTTAAATTTGGGCGATAATTCTTCTTCCTCTTCAACAATTGAACGTCGAACTGACGTATATCCTAATTCATGATATTCACTATTCCTAATCTTAGGATTGTCACTCTTTATGAGGACTTTTATGGAACAATCGGGTTTAAACATCAGGACATGTTTACTCTCTTACATAAAAACAATGTATTTTATTTAGGGCTTATTTTTCTTTTCTTTTTTTTTTTTGATTGTGTGGCTCTGGGATATTTTATTTAGGATTCAGTGTTTTTTCTTCTTTTTTTTTTTAATTACACTATCTGTAAAATTTTCTGGCGCCTGTATTTTGTTTATCGTATTGTACATGATGTATTTTAATGCGAACAACTTTGTAAATATAATGGATCGTTTTCAATTTGTCAGAATTTTAACAAATTATTTTCAATTTTTACACCGATCTATTAGATTATACATTTTTTCTAAAATATTTATAATAATATTTTTATTCATAGATGGAATGGCCCTAAAAAAAAAAATAAAAAAAAAACAATAAAAAAAGAGAAAAAAAAGAGAAAAAATTAAAATTTCTATAGAGAGAATTATTACTTTTTCTTTAATCTTTAAAGAATATTAACAAAGTTAATAAAATTTCATTAAAAATGTCGAAAAATTTTCTTTTTTTCAACCTAAGAATATCACCTAAGAATATCATTAAGAAAAAATGAATATGTATACGTGTAAAAAATGATTTTTTTTTTATTTTTAGTTGTTCGAGGATTTAATTATTTTTAGCCAAGTTCATTTGTAGATAATGTATTTGCCTAGAGAAGGCTGAAATGCATAAAAATCCGATTATATAATCAGAATGAAGATATAAGATGATTTGCTATTAGAGTTAGACGTTAAGTATTTATTTACGTACGTACGTATTTACATACGTACATTAAGTACCATTAACTTCCGACTTTAATGATTTAAATGGTTCATTCATAAGTAAAATGATTAGATACACAGCATCAAACAAATCCAAGTTGTGGAACCAATGGACTTACTACTCCGACATGAGAAAAAAAACTTTTTTTATGAGAAATAAAAAGAGTATTTGAACAAAATCTAAAAAAGGTAATATAAAAAAAAATCTCAGTTTTACATATGTGGTTAAAAAAATCTGCGTCGAAAAAATCACTTTTTTTAAAAAAAAAAAATCTCAACGCCTAACTTAACCACTTAAATGAACTGCCAAGAAAAAAAAAATTTTTTTTTCTAATCATAACTACGAAACGGATAACGGAATAACGGAACTAACCTAATGGCCAAATTTTATATAATTTCTAAAAATATATTTTTTACAAATAAAATTTACTGTATTTTTTAACCAAATTAAATTTTTATTAACACTAATTTTAATTGTAATAATTACCAAAAACATGCGTAATTATATCGATATATCTTGTTAATACAGTAATAAACCAACTTTTTAAACACTACATGGGCGTGTTACATAGTTATCTTTACTATTGGTACATTATTATACATAATATACATACTGTACATGTATACGTATTATACGTGTTACAATAAGACTTAGAAGTCATATTGGAGATCAAACATATATGTGCTATATACGTATTATACGCAACGATATAGATTTTTCTATATCAGATATACACTTCCTTATTAGAGATTATAATAAAAAAATATACAAATTATATAAAATTTTATAAATTAGATATTGTGTATTTGAAGAAAATTATATACTATGTGCATTTATAAAGAGTATATACGTACAATATATATACCGGTATATATATATAATATTTAACATCAATAAATTTTTTTGTTTTATTATACAGTACAATATATACGTATTTCTTAATACAAAAAAATAAAGTTAATATAAAACTATTAATTTATACTGCAATAAATATTTATTAGTCTATGTACTAAATTTAGTATATACAAAAAATTTATTTTAAACTAAAATTTTAACAATACTTATTAATAAAAATTTTGTACAAACTAATCTTAAATTTTTTGGTTTTTTTTTAAATTTTGTTATATTAAATTTAATACAGTATATATAGTAGTAAAAGTGTATAAAAAAATTAATTTTAAATCTAATTATAATTTTAAAATAATTAAAAAAAAATAAATAATAATTTTTTAAAATAGTTTAAATAAATTTGTTTTAAAGTAATACAAGTTTAAAAATAAAACTCTTTCTTGCAAATTTGTAAATCATAGCAAAATTGAAAATAAACAATATTGAGTACTGCCTATTATCTATGTATAACTTTTTTTTATTATAACAACATATTTCTATTTTTTAAATAAACTTGTTCAGCATAATTGTTTATATATAATTGTAGATTTAAAATTAGTATACATCTTCTTTTTATTAACAAAATGTACAAAATTTGCAAAATTTTAAAAAGTTGTTCTAAGTGATTTTATTCTATTGTTTTCAATATATTTAAGTTCAAAATTTAAAAATAAGTTAATATGTAGGAATTTTACTCTAAAATCTTAATATTCATAATCTTGACAATCTATAATCTTGATATGCATAATATCAATAAAAACAAAATCCTGACAAGTCAAATCTTAACAAGTCAAGACCTTGACAAAGACAAAATCTTAATAGTTCAAAATTCCAACAGTTTATCTCTGCTAGAATTATGTATATTAGGATTATTAAACTGTTGATAATTGAACTTTCAAGATTTTGTTATTGTTAATATTTTGACTTGTTGAGATCTTGACTTGTTAAGATTCTGTTCCTGTCAGAACTATATATGTCAAAATTATAAACTATTTAGATTTTGGATATTGGAATTTTAGAGTAAAATCATATATAGATTTAAAAAGATCTTTAGCTTAAAGTTTATAGTAAATTTATATGTTTTTATTATAATTTTTATTATAAACTTACACTCATATATTAATATATGTGACATTTTCTCTGACTGCTAATAAATAAATATTATACTCTTAATTAGGGTTCCTCAAACTTAAATCAAATCAAATATTAGGCCAATTTGAATTTGATCAAATCAAATTTGTCTTGATTTGAATTTGATTTGATTTTAA